TTGGATAATTTAAACTTTTTTAACAAATAAAAAACGTTTGCACGCCCCACAAAAAGTGGGGCGTGCAATATTATTTGGCCCCTTTACTTTCATTGCAGCAAACTCAGTCCAGAAGTTCAGTGAGGATCTTTGAATGATCCAATGTTGTCCTAAATGACTGATGATGATAAATAGAATGCACCTGTGTGTAATCAAGTCTCCGTATAAATGCATCTGCTCTTTGATAGTCTCAGGGTTCTGTTTAAAGCGCAGAGAGAACCATGAAGACAAAGGAACACACCAGGCAGGTCCGAGATACTGTTGTGGAGAAGTTTAAAGCCGGATTTGGATACAAAAAGATTTCCCAAGCTTTAAACATCTCAAGGAGCACTGTGCAAGCAATTATATTGAAATGGAAGGAGTATCAGACCACTGCAAATCTACCAAGACCCGGCCGTCCCTCCAAACTTTCATCTCAAACAAGGAGAAGACTGATCAGAGATGCAGTCAAGAGGCCCATGATCACTCTGGATGAACTGCAGATAACTACAGCTGAGGTGGGAGAGTCTGTCCATGGGACAACTATCAGTCGTGCACTGCACAAATCTGGCCTTTATGGAAGAGTGGCAAGAAGAAAGCCATTTCTCAAAGATATACATAAAAAGTCTCGTTTAAAGTTTGCCACAAGCCACCTGGGAGACACACCAAAATCGAACTTTTTGGCCACAATGCAAAACGATATGTTTGGCGTAAAAGCAACACAGCTCATCACCCTGAACACACCATCCCCACTGTCAAACATGGTGGTGGCAGCATCATGCTTTGGGCCTGCTTTTCTTCAGCAGGGACAGGGAAGATGGCTAAAATTGATGGGAAGATGGATGGAGCCGAATACAGGACCATTCTGGAAGAAAACCTGTTGGAGTCTGCAAAAGACCTGAGACTGGGACGGAGATTTATCTTCCAACAGGACAATGATCCAAAACATAAAGCCAAATCTACAATGGAATGGTTCACAAATAGACGTATCCAGGTGTTAGAATGGCCAAGTCAAAGTCCAGACCTGAATCCAATCGAGAATCTGTGGAAAGAGCTGAAGACTGCTGTTCACAAACGCTCTCCATCCAACCTCACTGAGCTCGAGCTGTTTTGCAAGGAAGAATGGGAAAGAATTCCAGTCTCTCGATGTGCAAAACTAATAGAGACATACCCCAAGCGACTTGCAGCTGTAATTGCAGCAAAAGGTGGCGCTACAAAGTATTAGCGCAAAGGGCCGAATAATATTGCACACCCCACTTTTCAGTTTTTTATTTGTTAAAAAAGTTTAAATTATCCAATAAATGTCGTTCCACTTCACGATTGTGTCCCACTTGTTGATTCTTGAAAAAAATGTAATTTTTATATCTGTATGTTTGAAGCCTGAAATGTGGCGAAATGTTGAAAGGTTCCATACTTTCGCAAGGCACTGTATATTGCAGATGTTGAACCAAAGACAAGAAAGAACACAAATCTATCACTTTATGTAGTATATTTCTGTCAATATTTATATGTGTGTGGGTGTGTGTTTCTCTCTCTCTCTGTGTATGTGTTTATTCCTCTCTCTTTGTGTGTGTCTGTTTCTCTCTCTCTGTGTATGTGCGTGTGCTTCTGTGTGTGTGTTTGTCTCTGAACGTCATTGTCTTTGTGTGTGTGCGGTTTTGTGTTGTATGAGTGAAAACGGTTAGAACCAAATGCTTTTGCTTCGTCCAGCCCCTTTCCAAATGGTCACATGACAACACAACACACACACACACACACACACACACACACACACTCCCATCAGAGCAGATCACATTAGTAAAAGTGCTGACATTTTATGACTTTCGCCTTCAGCTGCAGGAGTTTTGCAAAAATGACAGAAAATTTACTACCTCCAGATCTGCAGCTTCTGACCTGCACCAGTTTGTGTGTGCGTGTGTGTGTGTGTGTGTTTGTGTGTGTGTGTGTGCATGTGTGCATGTGAGTGTGTTTGTGTGTGTGTGTTGCGGGTGTTGTGTGTCTGTGTTCTCCATGGATCAATAATAATATCTGGATAGTGTTACCGGCTTATCCCACCGACGGGCACAGGGGGCGCCTGTGGTACTGCAGACTAACTTCACGCTGGGGGTGGCAGTCAGAACTGACCCAGTTCACAGAGCACCAGCCCCTCACTGATCCTCCTGCAGGCGGTGGGTCCACAGGCTCTGTCTGTGACGACACAGCCTTGATCTTTCAGCGGAGGCTTCAGGCAAAGTGGGGTTTAGTGTCTTGCCCAAGGACACAAACAGCCAAGGAAAGCCGGGACGGGTGGCAACACAAAGCTTTCATAGAGGTCGCTTTTTGTTAAATCCTTTGGTTTCGTATAAGCCTGGTTGTACCACACCATAGTACAAATTACATTTCATGCTAAGGTCTGGATTTGCTCCATTGAGCTCCGTGAACAGGTGGGAGGGGCTAACTCTTTTTGCAGATTGAAACGATTGGATCTGAGTTTACCGTGACGTATGTAATGAGCCCGAGTCTGTTGTTAGCATTTAGCCTAGCTTTAGCCATCTCCTTTGCTGCTAAAGGAGCCCGTGGGGAGTAGCGCCACAATCTTTGCCAGCGATTACATTTGCTAAACATTCCTATTGCTCCTGCTTTAATTTATTGATAGAACCAGACCGGATTACTTTACTATCGCATTCTTCGGCATTGCCAAACTACAACCTGCCCGTTAGGCGCAAACTCTTGACTAGGGTGACCATACGTCCCGATTTACCCGGGACTGTCCCGATTTTGAGCACTGCGTCCCGTGTCCCGGCGGATTTCACAAGCCCCATTGTTTTGTCCCACTTTTACGCACGCTCCGTCCCGGGTGTCCCGATTTTTTTAGCCATGCATATGCAATGGTAAAAAGCTAATACAGCGCACAGTGGCTGAATCTTGTTGCCAATCACACAGTTGCCATAGCAATTTATAATATGAACCAAGTGAAAAGATGAACAGTCCTCCGCGTGTCTGTAGCTTGATTCTCATTGGTCCATGGCATTGACATTAGATGTTCAAAACAAAACGCTATGGATCAACATTTCTTATGCTGAACATGCCTAAAAGAAAGTTGAGGTTAACCCAAGAGCTCCTGGAACAGTACCGTTTCCTCAGGAAAGTACCGGGTAATGAAAATGCTGCCTTTTGTACACTTTGTAAGTGCGAGTTTTCCGTCGCTCATGGCGGAAAAGCCGACGTGCAGAGCCACAGTAAAACTAGCAAACACAAGAGATGGGAACAGGCGGGTAGTAGCTCTGTTAGCCCATTTTTCGGGCAAGCTGCGGCTGGTGATGAAGAACTTAAACGTGCTGCTCAGGAGGCCACATTTGCCTATCACCTTGTGAGGCACAATCACAGCTTTCGTTCAATGGACTGTACAGCTGGGCTGACGCGGAAATTTTATGACCAACGTTTTACCTGTGCTCGCACCAAAGCGGAGGCAATTGTTACGAATGTGATAGCCCCACATGCTACGGAGTTGCTGCAGGAGGACACCGCGGATGTTACTTTCGTCTCCGTCGCAGCGGACACATCAAACCGCAAAGCAGTAAAACTTCTCCCTGTTGTAATCCGCTACTTTACATTGACTGAGGGCGTGAGCGTCAAGATACTCAATTTTGTGTCACTACCAGGTGAGACATCCACCCTCCTATTTAATGAAGTCGAGCGTAGCCTGTCAGCTTTTGGTCTGATGGATAAAGTGATTGGCTTTTGTGCGGACAACACAAACACAAATTTTGGAGGAAAGGCAAGAAGAGGACAAAACAATGTGTTTTACAAACTTGATCAAGCCACCCCCTGCAGTTTGATCGGAGTAGGCTGTGCAGCACACATTGTGCACAATGCAGTGCAATCAGCAGCAGACACACTTCCCTGTGACATAGAGAACTTTGTTGTCAAGGTATTTGGATACTTTCACATTTACACCGTCAGAACTGAGGAGCTGAAAGATTTCTGTAATTTTGTTGAGGTTGAGCATGCCACGCTTCTGGGGACTAGCAGAACACGCTGGCTTTCACTGGGGCCTGCTGTTGAGAGGGTCCTGAAGCTTTACCCAGCTCTTCAGTCCTACTTCAGGTCTCAAGATAAGGCTCCTAATTCTATTCTAAAGTTTCTTGAAGACCAAGTGTGCGAGGCATGGCTTTGGTTTATTCATAACCAACTGACACTTTTCAATGACACCATCAAACAACTGGAGAAGGAGAAGAGCTCTGCCATCCATTCTGCCCTGTACCTCTCCAGTCTTAAGGAAAAGCTTATGGAGAGGAAGGCTGCACTCTTCATGGCCTTAAAGGTGAGTTGTATGGATCATATAAAACTATAATAATACATACTTGTACACATTTGATAGCACTGTTATTTTTTTATTTGCATACAGTTGTATAAATTATAGTGTAAATAGTAGGGGTGTAACGGTTCAGCTATCTCACGGTTCAGAACAGTTCACGGTGCAGGACCCACGGTCCGGTGCATCACGGTGCTAGTGCGATATAATTGGCTAATAAATCAGTTTTGAAATAAAATAGCCTTAATGTTCATTATTAAGCAGTTTTTGTAATTCAGAAATACATTGAAAATGCTTTCTAATTTTTCAAAGCTGCTTTACAATAAAATGTGCCCTAGGGCTAAAAAAACACACACACACAAAAACCACAGTGCTCTAAAGTTAAAGAAAAAAGTGCACTGGATTTATACTTTACCGCAGCCTGGCCATCATCAGCAGGAGAAACGTTTGCAAAGGCACGCGGATTTCATTTGTAGCACGGTGCATTGTTACACCCCTAGTAAATAGTAAATAGCAATTTAACAGTAACAACTGTTCATGGTTTTATTAATTGCATAATGAAATGTTTTTTGTTTTTTAATTTAGGTGAAAAGTCTTCTGGTTGGCTTCCAAGAGCGCCATCAAGTGGATGTGTTCAAGAAAGGCGTCCAGAACTTCTATGACTGCTGCATCTCATACCTCCAGGAGTGGGGCTCTCCATTCACTGAGCTGAAGTGCCTCTCCTGGACACTGCTAGAGCATGCACCAGAGTGGGATGAGGTTGAGTGCTCCCTGAGGTATGTCTCCACCAAGCTGCCACAGATGGACATCATTGAAACAGAGCTGTTTGATGAAGTCACTTCTCTCAAAACTTACACATCAGAAAAGATTGAACAGTGGACCACAATTTCAACACCTGCAGATGAGCGCTGGGCAGAAATGTTCACACATTTTAAGTACAGACATGTTCCATTCAGAAACATTTTTGTTATCTGCCAGTTTGCCATGTGCCTTCCTGGCACAAATGCCCCTGTTGAGCGCATTTTTTCAATTATGAACAATACTTGGACTGATGAGAGAAACCGTATGGGACTGGAAACTTTGAAAGCGCTGCTCATTACTCGGGTGAACTTTCAGTATAGTTGCTCTGAGTTCTATACAAGGATCAGTGACAACCGTAGCCTCTTGAAAAAGGTACACTCAAGCATGAAATACTAGAGTCAGTAAGACTGTTCAGGGTTTTGCATTGAAGCACTGATTTTGTTTGTGCAATAAGGTTTGATATTTCAAAACAATTGATTGTTTAAATGTTATACATCTTTTGATTGTTTGGGAGCCACATTTTGACTGTAATAAAATTTCACTTCATTCGTTTGTGGTGAGAATTTGTCGTATAATTTTGGTATTAAAATGTCCCAGTTTTTCATTTTGAAAATCTGGTCACCCTACTCTTGACGTCACCTGCACCGACCTACAACACCCGCCTCCCGCGCTCGACCCGCCGGTCGAAATACGATCGATTGTAATCGCTAACACAGGGACCAGAGCCAGACATTACATGCAGTGAAATGATGATTGAGCGGAGTGTACGAATGGATAAAGTAGTACTAGAATTTAATATTCTGCTATCCAGAATATATAACTACAATATGTGTTTATAATATTTCGGGTGTTCATTTTGACATGTTCAGATGAATTATGTTAAAAAACGGCTTTGACGTGGCACCTTTTCACTTCCGCATAGAAACGTTAGGGGGCGCCAGAATGGCGGCGATGACGTAGGAGAATGACCTCTCACAGCAGCAGCAGCAGTCTTAGCTGGAAACTGTAGGAGGTTTCACTGTCATCTGAACAAGGTATAAACATATTTTCATCCGTTTTGTACATAATAGTGTGCAACTCTTTTAACCTTTTAGCCTTATTTGTGAGATTCAAGCTAATTAGGGTTGGGCAAGTTAGCTAACTCTACTTGATATCATAAAACATGCTAACAAGGCTAATATTCGTTTTTACATTATGCCAGTCTCACTTTGCCTTAGATTTATTTACCACAATGTACATTGTAATATCCATAAATGCTAATCAAAATAACTTGAATTAAATACATATTTTACTTTTATGAACAAAAAGCTGCAGAAGTTGAAAACATAGACTACATGTGATGCAATCATTGATAAAAATGCTAATTAAACCGTTAATAGGTGTTAGCATTTTTGAATATTACAATGTACATTGTGGTAAATAAATCTAAGGCAAAGTGAGACTGGCATAATGTAAAAACGAATATTAGCCTTGTTAGCATGTTTTATGATATCAAGTAGAGTTAGCTAACTTGCCCAACACTAGTTTGCTTGAATCTCTCAAATAATGGTGCGTTCAGACCAAACACGATTTCTGCGGCCAAATCGCGTCTATCGCGCAGCTTGAGCCGCTTGTGACAAAAAGTGGCAGCCGCTGTCACAGAGAAACTTGGCCGCGCGGCCAGGACACTAGAGGGCAGCCGCTGTCACAGAGCGTTGAGAGCGTTTAGGGGCGGGGCTTGTCTCTTTTGCCTGTAGTTTCCCAACATGGATGTCAGCGAAGGAGTGGCTTGGCTCTATCTAATAAATAAAGCCAGACACGTCGTCAAAGGGCGAATCGACGACGTGTCTGGATTCATCAGATAGTCCGTAGACGGTTGGAGTTTGGTGAGTTTCACCATTTGCTCCGGGAGCTGCGCTCGGATGAGGGTCGCTTTCAGCGGTACTTTCGTCTCTCCCTGGCCCAGTTTGACGACCTACTGACCCGCATTGGCGCTAGGATCTCCTACCAGGACACCAACTACAGGCGCTCTATTCCAGCTGAAGAGCGCCTGTCCATCTGTCTGCGGTTAGTGTTTTTTACCCCATTCAGAATTCCTAAATACTTACAAAGTTTGTCATTTTTGCAATCACAATCCACAATGTAATAGCTCAGAAAACAGTATTATGCAACAATATGGTGTCTATGATTACTGTCTATGATGTTTACTGTCTACTAGTTTAACGTATTTTATGCTACATAAGTTTTGTCACGTGATTTTTATGAATGTAATTGTGATAAATATGTTCATATCATTTTGTAATTGCAGGTTTCTTGCCACTGGGGACTCCTACAGGACCATTGCGGGGAGCTTCAGAGTGGGCACATCAACGCGATGGAGGCATCATGGCCAACTCTGCCTTTGGTGAGGCTCTGCGCGAGGGCACACTCGACCTGCCTCCTGACCAGTGCATACCTGGAGCTGACCACAGAGGACCCCAGCCCCATGTGTTCGTGGCAGATGAGGCCTTTCCACTGCGCCGCAATTTAATGCGCCCTTTCCCTGGACGTGGTGGCCTTACCCCAGAGCAGCGCACCTTCAACTACCGCCTCTCCCGGGCCCGGTTAGTGGTGGAGGATGCATTTGGGATTTGGTCTGCGCAGTGGAGAGTGTTTCGCCGTCACCTGGAAGTCTCCCCAGAAGTTGTGGAGAAGTGTGTGAAGGCCACTTGTGTCCTTCACAACTTCATGAGGATGGCTGGAGATGGGCAGGTTCCTGCACCGAGGGGAGCTGCTACCGGTGAAGAACCACTTCCAGGCGTGCAGCGGATGGCTGCCTGGAAGCCAGCAGTGGACATAAGGAAAGTGTTCATGGCCCACTTCAGTGAGGAGGGAGCACTGCCGTGGCAGCCCACAGAGTAGTCATGTCCACCACAAGACTGACCCACAACGGCTCTTTTCAGAGCCACCCACAAAATACAAAGAGCCTAACTTCATTCCTGACATATAATGTGCTGAGCCTCTTGAATATGAAATTCTTAACATTTTTTCTGGCCATAGTCCAAACCCATATTGATTTGCATTATTCTATTCACCTGTATACCTTCTGTTTCTAGGTAATGACTGCCAGACTCCACTGCGACTCCACTCCAACTTCAGGTTAATCATATGCACATTCAAGCTTTTCCGTCATTACAAGGTTGTTAAAACAGTAAACGGTGAAATGAATAAAAAATACTGTCAACTACTGTATCGCTCTTTAAGTGTTCGTTATTCCATCTTCTATAAAACCCAGTCAGCTCTTATAAAAGTAAATGTACAAATATAGAATAGCAATTTCTGTCAGTATTATATGAAAGGTAGTAATGGTTGGCTTGAAGTAGAACACATGAGGTTTGAAAAATATTTTCTTTATAAAAAGGGAACAAACAATGAAAAATAAATTAAATGTACATATAAACAAATGAAAAGGAGCTTGCTTGGAGGAGGTGCGGTGGAAGAGGAAAGGGACACATGTCTGTTTCCTCCCCTGCAAAAGGTGTCACCTTAGGTAAAAAAAAACTGTCTGTTCTGGCCAATGGTTCCAAATTAAGCAGAACGGTGCTGCTTTCATATAAAAGTTGGTACATTTTGAATTTCACAAATTCTTTTGACTCTGGTGCCACCCTTTGCAGGAGAGGAACAAGAGAGAGCAGGAACTGATGTTCTTCTGAGTTGTGGGGCGGTGCGGCTGCTTTGGTCCGTAGAGTCTCCAGCAGCTCCCGCTCCCACTCAGAAGGCGGCTCTACGGACGTGGGCCTCTTCCGAGCCCTCTTCCTTGGTGGGCCTTCAAAGAACACAGGGCAATCACAGTGTTAAAAAGTGGAACATGTATTTCAAAAAAGCAAAATGAAGAGAGCAAATAATATCTGTATTAAAGCCAGAGTGTGTAGACATAGTTAAACACATGTAAAACACTTTTAAGTTGTGTGTTTGTGTTACAATTAACTTGAACATTGCAGTTATCAATGAAATTACTCACACAAGCACAAATTTTGACAGTTACAAACTAATATCTCTGAAGTGTATTTCGCAATGAAATTTGAAATTGGCTGTTAAAAAAGTAATACTCTATTGTCTGCATTAAACAGGATAGCTGCCATATTGTGGCAACCATTGCATGTATTTGTTCAGTACTTTTATAGCATAAGGTATTTCAGTAGTATGTTTTTATCAAAGAAAGAGGGAAGATGTGAAGCTTCAGACCAAAGCTTCTTTCCACCTGTAGTGCCTTGACATCTTGTCGTTTCTCTGTAAATTTGTCGTCTACACTGATGTAACAGCCCTTGGGTAATTTTGGCATATTATGCAGTAACATTTTGTTTATATGAACAGTCCTGTAATAAGAATAAAAATAAAACAATGATTAAAAAAAGCCACACCTGTAGGTGCAGAAGCAGGGGAAGGTCCAGCCCTCACAGAAGAAGAACCGGCTGAGGAAGAAGAAGCAGCAGCAGCAGCAGGCAGCTCAGGCAGCTCAGGCCAAGATGTCTCACCTTGTGTGGTGGTGGCAGTATCTGCGCCAGAAGAAAACAAGAAATACAATTATTTCATATCATGTGTACATTGCGCTTATGACATTTATATGTACATAATAATGTACATTATTATGTACATTTAAATGATTTGTTCATATGAAAGGGAAAAGTTAAATTTAACACAACACATGATCAAGATCTATCCTGGTTTGAAAATAGCCAATGCCTATTTTCACCTGGCCATGATGTTAAGAAAGCATTAAAAGAAATGCATACACAGAAAGCAATATAAATGTAAAAGTCAGCAAAATGTGGGTAATAGAAAGGAAAGAAATTTTCCAACTGTTCGAGGTCTCTGTGTGCTGCATGACACCGACCTTCAGCACCTGACAGCCCTGCTGCTGCTGCTTCCTCTGGCTCTTCTTCTGGGTGGTTGTACCCTGTGGTCTGCTCCTCCTCGGCCCTTCGCCTTGGCATGTTCCCGGAGCTGTCACGGGGAGTGATGTAGGGCTCGAGGAAGGACATGACCACAAGGTACTTCCACGTCTGGCCTTTCCCTGCTTCTTCACCACTCTTCTTCACCTTCTCCTTCTCCTTCCTGCTCTCCTTAGCATATGTGTCCCTCAGATTCTTCCACCGCTTTTTGCAAACTTCCACTGAATAAACACATCAACTCGTAAGCGGGAAAGTAGTAGTTTTTTTCGCGGGGAAATATTTACAACTGTGAAAAGTTAAAATAACTTACCCGAGACACCAACCACCTCGCTAACCCTCCTCCAAGCAAGCTCCTTTTTATTTCGGTCCCGGTAGCTGTGGTCCGCAGTGTTATATAGCTCAGAATGAGCACCGACCTGAGCAATTAACGTGTCCTCCATAGCTGTCGTCTACCAGTGTTTTTCCGGTAGTGAAATGCGTCACTACGTCACTGTAGGAGAAAGCTCCTGATTGGTCGGCACACGCGAATTCTCCCAAAAAGTTCAACATTGTTCAACTCTAGCGGCGGCCGCGTTGGAAGCGCGAATTGCGCGAAACGCGCGTCAAAACGCTTGACATCTCAAAACTCGCCGCGCGAAACGCTCAAATTTGCGCCGATCTGGCCGTGCAAATCGCGCCGCGTGATCTCTCGCCGCTCCTTGGCGCGCGTCCCCCATGTTGTGTCAATGTAGACCCGCCGCTTTGGCCGCAGAAATCGCGTTTGGTCTGAACGCACCATAAGGCTAAAAGGTTAAAAGAGTTGCACACTATTATGTACAAAACGGATGAAAATATGTTTATACCTTGTTCAGATGACAGTGAAACCTCCTACAGATTCAGCCCAGACTGCTGCTGCTGCTGTGAGATGCCCTTCTCCTACGTCATCGCCGCCATTTTGGCGCCCCCTAGCGTTTCTATGCGGAAGTGAAAAGGTGCCACTTCAGAGCAGTTTTTTTTACATACAGTGCCTTGCGAAAGTATTCGGCCCCCTTCAACCTTTCAACATTTCGCCACATTTCAGGCTTCAAACATAAAGATATAAAATTTTATTTTTTTGTCATGAATCAGCAACAAGTGGGACACAATCGTGAAGTGGAACGAAATGTATTGGATAATTTAAACTTTTTTAACAAATAAAAAACTGAAAAGTGGGGCGTGCAATATTATTCGGCCCCTTTACTTTCAGTGCAGCAAACTCACTCCAGAAGTTCAGTGAGGATCTTTGAATGATCCAATGTTGTCCTAAATGACTCATGATGATAAATAGAATGCACCCGTGTGTGATCAAGTCTCCGTATAAATGCACCGGCTCTTTGATAGTCTCAGGGTTCTGTTTAAAGCGCAGAGAGAACCATGAAGACAAAGGAACACACCAGGCAGGTCCAAGATACTGTTGTGGAGAAGTTTAAAGCCGGATTTGGATACAAAAAGATTTCCCAAGCTTTAAACATTTCAAGGAGCACTGTGCAAGCAATTATATTGAAATGGAAGGAGTATCAGACCACTGCAAATCTACCAAGACCCGGCCGTCCCTCCAAACTTTCATCTCAAACAAGGAGAAGACTGATCAGAGATGCAGCCAAGAGGCCCATGATCACTCTGGATGAACTGCAGATAACTACAGCTGAGGTGGGGATGGTGTGTTCAGGGTGATGAGTTGTGTTGCTTTTACGCCAAACATATCGTTTTGCATTGTGGGCAAAAAGTTCGATTTTGGTTTCATCTGACCAGAGCACCTTCTTCCACATGTTTGGTGTGTCTCCCAGGTGGCTTGTGGCAAACTTTAAGAGACTTTTTATGGATATCTTTGAGAAATGGCTTTCTTCTTGCCACTCTTCCATAAAGGCCAGATTTGTGCAGTGCACGACTGATTGTTGTCCTATGGACAGACTCTCTCACCTCAGCTGTAGTTATCTGCAGTTCATCCAGAGTGATCATGGGCCTCTTGGCTGCATCTCTGATCAGTCTTCTCCTTGTTTGAGATGAAAGTTTGGAGGGACGGCCGGGTCTTGGTAGATTTGCAGTGGTCTGATTTTTCTTCCATTTCAATATAATTTCTTGCACAGTGCTCCTTGAGATGTTTAAAGCTTGTTGTATCCAAATCCGGCTTTAAACTTCTGCACAACAGTATCTCGGACCTGCCTGGTGTGTTCCTTTGTCTTCATGGTTCTCTCTGCGCTTTAAACAGAACCCTGAGACTATCAAAGAGCAGGTGCATTTATACAGAGACTTGATTACACACAGGTGCATTCTATTTATCATCATCAGTCATTTAGGACAACATTGGATCATTCAAAGATCCTCACTGAACTTCTGGACTGAGTTTGCTGCACTGAAAGTAAAGGGGCCAAATAATATTGCACGCCCCACTTTTCAGTTTTTTATTTGTTAAAAAAGTTTAAATTATCCAATACATTTTGTTCCACTTCACGATTGTG